TCCCTCCGCCGCCTGGCGCCGGCCCCGCAGCCCCCGGAATCCGGGCGAACCCCGAGCCCGCTCAGCCCCCCTCCACGCCTTTCCGCGCTACCACCTCCCCACTTAAGTGTCTGAGACTCTGAGCCTCACAAGGGACTGGAGGAGTAAGCTGCTTGCTTCCTTTTGCATGCAATTTATTATTTTTTTCCGGTCCTCTTGCAAAATACAGAAAAAAATAGGAAAGGAAAGGCAGCAAGAAACAACCAAAAAAATAAAAATAGATCTATCGTATACCAGATAGAGATTTTTTGGGGAAAAAAAAAAGCTACACACCAATCTTCTTCCAGAGTCTTTCTCTGCCTCCATTTTTTTAGGAGAGTTCACCAATTAATTGTCAACACTCCTGCCCCCTGCATTTTGGCGGAGGGGAGGGAGGAGGGAAAACCAAAGAAAACAAACCAAAAAATAAATAAATAAAGCAAGCCAGAGCCGAGATCTACAAAGTTTTGCACCAACACTTAGGCAGATCCGTTTGCAAAGTCCTAGGAAACCATTTTCAGCAGTGTGGGGGGGAGGCGTCGACGTCATAATCCCCGGAACGTAAACATTGTTGCTGATCGCGCTCGGAGCCCGCGGCCGGGCTAGTTGGGGGGGCACTCGGCCCGGGATGGGGGCCTGGGGGGCGGTGGCCCGAGGAGGTGTGGGGCGGGAGGGAGTCTGGGAGGCACCGGGCGCCGTTAGCGCCCTGGCATCGCTGTTTTGTTGTTGGGTCACGAGTGCGCCTCTGCACGCAGGCGCCGCCGCCGCCCGGGAGTTGTGTGCAGAGCTGACTTTTGGAGGGTTGAGTTGCAGGCGGCGGACGCATCCCGGCGATGGCGGGGCAGGAGGGAGGGAAGGAGGAGGGGGGTGGGGAGGGAGGTGCAGATTTGCACGGCTGGCCTCAGCAGGAGGCGCGGAAATGCAAGCCGAGCTCGCTGCGGAGAAAGCCCCCGGGGCCTGGCACCCCCCAGAACGACCCCCACCTCAGTCCAAGCCCCTTTACCCAGGGCTCTTCTTTCTTTATCCACTGGATCCCATTACCTGCGTTGGCGACCCAAATACAAAGCATTTTGTATATATAATCTTTTTTTTTTTTCCTTTTCCACTTCATGTCTTTCGGGGGGAGGGGCGATCCTGTTCAGATCCCCGTTTGAGAATCTGCCATATGGAAGGGGCATTTGAGGGGCCCAGCAGCAGATTATCGCAGTTCCGTGTCTGGATGGACTGCGTAACTTTTAAACTCCCTGGACTAAAAGATAATTGGGACACACGCACACACAGGTACAGGAAATACAGCCCGACCAAAGATTTTTCAGACCGCAACTGACCGGAAGCCGCTGCCTTTTCATTCATTCATTCTGTTCGCCTCGGTGGAGTCTTTTGATAGGCAACGAGCCCTGAAACACAAGTTGGACTCTTGTAAAGGTCCTCGCGTTCGTCAGGAGGAAGAAATTGACGCTCAGGAAGGAAATACCCACAGAATCGGACCCAGCGTCTCCCAGCGCAGCTCCCTAATATGCCAAAGGTAAGCCCTGTCCGCTCTTTATAGAAGGAAACTGGTGCTGAGGCATGAGTTTCTCCGGGAGGGGGCACGGAAACTTCTGGCACACCTTGATTTAATGCTTTTTAGCTTCTTAGCAGAGGTGTGGACACCCTTTATGCGCATTTGGCCTGTCACTAGCTGCCCAATGCTTCCCTGCCCCCGGACCTGGGGTCTGTGGCTGCCCCAATTGATCCTGCAATCTTGTCATGTGCAAAGGCCGGTCTACTTCAGTTTCTTAAAAAGTTGATCCTGAACTTTTTTTTCTCCATCCCAGCTCTGTGCCATGCAAGGCCCGGTCTTGGAGGCAAAGCTCCTGATAAAATGACATAGCAAAGGGGTGCATACAGCAGGCAATGAGTGTGGCTTTGTTTTTGCAGTACTGGGAATTAAGCTCAGGAAACAAGGTCTATACCCCAGCATTTTCCTTTTTTCTCTCTCTCTTTTTTTTAAGATTAGGTTCTTGCCAAGTTGCCCTATCAGGTTTTGGTTTGTTTGTTTTTTGAGACAGGGTCTCACTATTGTAGTTGAGACTGACCTGGAACTCACCATGTAGCCCAGGCTAGTCTTGAACTCACAGAGATCCTCCTGCCTCAGCCGGCCGAGTGCTGGAATTACAGGCGTGTGCCACCACGCCCGGTCAGGTTTTGAGAAATTGTTTTGTTTTGTTGAGATAGGGTCTCACTATGCAGTTGAGACTGACCTGGAACTCACTATGTAGCCTAGGCTGGTCTCAACTCATAGCCATCCTCCTGCTTCAGCCTCACATGTACTGGGATTACAGGCGTGAACCACCACGCCCTGCTTTATTTTTTATTTTTTAGTGTGGTACAGAGGATTAAATTCAGGGCCTTTGCACCAGAGAAACATCCCCAGCTCTTTTATTTTATTTTTTTTAAGGGACTCACTAAGTTGCCCAGGCTGGGCTTGAATTTTCCATCTTCCTGCCTCAGCTTCTCAGACTCCTGGGATTACTGGCATGCATCAACCACACCAGGGCTATACTCAAATTTTTTATCCTCCTTCATTAGCCTTCTAAGTAGCAGGGATTACAAGCATGCACCACCGCACCCAATTTCACATCACATTTTATTTTGCCACTAACCCTGTGGCTAGTTGTAGGGGGTCATTTTGCAGATTGGGAAACTAAGGCCCAGAGAAGCCACAAATCTGTATGACTGGTCTGCCGTATCGTTTCCACGTCAATAAGCAACCAGACAGATGTGGGAAGGAAGTGGCTTCCCAGACCCAGATCGGATGTAAACCGTGTATGTATGTCACCCTAAGAGACAGCATCACCTCTGCTCACCTTAAAATTTCCTGTCATATCATCGGTACTCTTTTGCACCCACCTTTGAAGGCAACATTCTGAAGTTTGTTTTAATCCATGTTCACGGGCTGTAAACATCTTAAGAAGAGATGAAGCTAGCAAACACAGAAGTTTGTCTCTGAATAGAAGTCACCCACGTTGACCCTGCTGCAGCCAGAGCAGTGCTTAGCATGGGTGAGGGCATTTCAGCCCTCTAAAGAACCAGGGACTGTTGCATTTGTCTCTCTCTTGTGAGGACCCTTTCAGGGCCGGGGATTTAGCTCAATGGTTCTGCCACCTGCCTTGCAAGTGCAAGATCCAGAGTTCGATCCCTAGTACCAAAAAAAGAGAGAAGAGGACCCTTTTGGAGAAACTTGTTTCTCCCCATTTTGCAAGTGAGCAAACCAGGACTCAAAGGGCAAACCCACTCACCCCAGATCACATAGCTTTGCAAGTGGAGCTACTAGGGCTCCAGTAGGCATGACTACGGCGTGCTTTTTCACGTAATGACTAAACTGCCCGGGGAGGGCTCCCAGGCTACAGAGTGATAAAAAGTAAAGTGGAATAAAGTAAAACTGGGAAATAGGGTGCTTGGTTGTCATCTGCTTGCTACCCATGGGACTTCGTGGTGTCCCCCAGAAGCTGGCATGAGGAAAAGGTACACCAGCAGCCACTTTAGTGTAAAAACAGGTCCACATATCACTTCGACAGGGAGTCCTGGCTGTCCGAGCAGGAAGGGCTTGACCAGTCACCTAATTTAATCCCCTCCCTTTACAAACCTCCAGGAAAATGCAAACCTGAGAAAAGAATGAGCCAGCCAGGGTTTGTTCCCCTTTGACTCTCCCAGAACATCTAACCCTGCTTCCATCCTAAGTGGTCACTCCGTAAATGTTGGGCTCTTGATGGATCACCTTCCCCAGCATATTTGCATTTTCTCTTTATCAGTAATTGGCAGATGAAAGGCTTTGTGCTCCAGTTAAAAGAATTCCAAGCATTTGGCTCAAAGTGGGGGAGGAGGTTATTTTGGGCCAAAGGGAGAAGGGCCCAGAGCCTTGAGCTCAGCTTGGCTGATTGTCCCCAAGAGCAGAGAATAGGTAAAGGAGTGGCCAGAAGCTGAAGGTGCTTCTGCAAAAGATGGAGCAGTGGCAACACCCAGCCAGTTGTAATGGGGAACAAAGTGATAACGACTTCCGGGACTTTCTGGCTTGTCCTTGCAAACGGCCCAATCAGATCCTGTGTTGTGTACTCCCGTTCATTCATTTCATTTCTCTTCCCCCCTCAAAGGTTGACTGAGCAGCTCTGCTCCCAAAGACAGAGAAAAGAAACAGCTCCACTGACAGCGCACTCTGGGCTGGGCCTGGAGATGGAACAAAGGCTGGAGGCACCTCAGAATCAGAAACCAAGATGTGGGGTCTGTAAGGAAACCGAAGCTTTCACCTAATTATCACAGCTCCTAACTTAGAAAAACTTGTTTTTGCGCAAAGCCCCTCACGTTTGTTATCTCTGAATTCTTGCCAAAGGTCTGTGAGGACGAGGTTGTGATTTCGCACTTTAAAAGCTTAGGCTCAAAGAGAGATCGAGTTACTTGACCAAATTTCACAGCTGTGAAACAGTCGCCATAGGATTTGAACCCAGAACTTGTAGGAATCCAAAGCTCACAGAGTTTAAGCTACCTGTAGGGCTGTGCCATAGAGCATGATGGAGATCGTGTATATCTCCGCTACTACAGGCACCTCTACCCACATCCCAGCTGTGGAGCACTTGAACTGCGGGTACTGGGATTAAAGATCTTTATGTTACTGTGCTTGGGATTGAACGCAGGGCCTCACACATGTTAAGCTTGCACTCTGCCACTGAACTATACCCTAGTGCAATTTTTTTTTTTTTTTTTTGTACTGGAGATCGGGACCTTGTGCTTGCGCTGAGCTAAATCCCCAGCCCTCCCCCAGTGCAAATTTTAATAAAAAATTAAACAGTGTAGTCCCAGAGTGTTTTGCACTATTTGTCTTAAGGCTGTATATACCTCAAGGTCTGAATTGGCCTTGGGTCCCCATAATCCACTGCTCCAAAACATTTGTGGAATGAATGAAGGGTCCCTGTGGGAAGGGGCCATCTGGTACAGTGTGAATGCTTGCAGTGTTAGTTTAACCGACTGGCTCTGAGTGCCTGCCAGGACCCTGGCACTGGGAGGGGAGCCTGGAGATGCCAGCTGGGTATGCGATTGGCCCACCTGCCCAGACCGCACAAATAAACTTCTCAAGGCCAGATAACGGGTGTTGGGGTGGGAATCTTTTGGATAGCCTCAAGCACCATAATGCAGTTAAACTAGAAAACATTCTTTAAAGTTGAGAAACTTAAGTCATATATATGCCAGATGAAGCCATACTAAATCTTTACAAGGAATAAAATAGTGCTGGCGGTGTAGCTGAATGGTAGAGCACTTGCCCCGTATGCATGAGACCCTGGCTTCAATCTCTAACACTGCACAAAATAATAAGTAGTAGGTATCTACAGTCATTCATATTTATATTCGCTGAAGTGAAATCATTGCATGATAGCCTTAAACAAAATGATTCAAAATACTAAATTGTGATGATGACTTGTATAA